TAACCAACCAACCAACCCACCCACCCAAACAACCAACCAACCAGGTTTCTGGTCTTCCTCTTAGCTCCTCCCCCACTCGACACAACTCTGTTCTGTCCGGATGATCCTGGGCTGACGTCATTACTTGACGGGGTGGGCAATGATTGGCGGTTCTTGGGGTCATCTCTTGCCCCATCTGAGAAAAAAAATTAAAATGACGATGACGATGATGACGACGATGAAGATGGTGATGAAGATGATGATGATGACGATCACAACACAACGAACCACGATCCGAAGTAGCAGCATGGAACTTCATCTTGTCTCCAATCCAGGCATACTTCTCCGCCCTGTCGTGGTCCTCGCCCTCTTTCTTCTTCCGCTTTTTCCTCCAGCCATCAGCGGCATCTTCTTCCTCTTCCTCTTCATCACTGCCCGCTTCTTCCTTGTGTCTGTCGAAGAAGAACGCCTTCTTCCATCTCTTCGGGAATGATTCGCTGGCATCTTTGTCGGCGGCGTCGGAAGCGGATCTGTGCAAGCGAAAGTGACGTAGATGCTGCTTCAGTTGTGCCCTCTTCGACATGGGTTCGACCGGCGTGTCAGATGGTGCGTTCGCATCGCTCGAGCGGTTCAAGTAGGCTTTGAATGCGTCTTCCAGCTTGTTTGTGTGTCAGTGAATTTGTATGGGTGTATGTGTTTGTTTGTGTGTGTGTCAGTGAGTTTGTATGGGTGTATGTGTTTGTTTATGTGTGTGTGTGTGTGTTCGCACGTATGCGTGTGTACGTATGGTAGTAACTAAGTGTGAACTGGTATGCTTATTCGTATGCATATGAAAATTTTTGCATGTAATTTATCAGAGGTGGGATCATCGGTGGAAATAAGTGAGCGTTGTTGAAATTTTTTTTTTTTCGTCAATAAGTTATTTTGTAAAAACAGCATGACCCAACCAGCCAACCAACCAACCAACCAACCAACCAGCCAACCAACCAACCAACCAGCCAACCAGAAAAAACATAGTAATACACTAACTTCACGTTCGTTTTTCTTACTGCTGACAATATCCTGTGGCGGATTGAGAGAGATGTCG